GCTCAAATGAAAGAGCGGGTCGAGAAATGGCGTGCAGAAGTCTTTAAAGATGACAAATCTCTCTAAAGATGATGTCTGTTTTCAATTGAAAAGCGCAATTGTGACAACATTTTCCAGTGGGTTCTAGGAGTCTCCCCTGGTTCAACACCATCTTTAGAGGTCCTAGCACGCCATTTCTCGACCCGCTCTTTCGTTTGAGCTCAAAAAAACATTCATATCTTGTCTGACATCTTTGCTACAAACTCGGGTCTTCAACTCGGGTTTTCAATTGAAGGATCATAATTGTCTCGATATTTCATAACACGACTTTCATAAAATGAGTTTATAATCCTAATACAAATCAAATTTAACAGAATGTTTTCACAATTTTATCATCAAAACGACATTGACATTGACAAATTATATTTTTAGGATTCTTTTAAAGAAAAAAAAGCATCCGAATATGAAAATATCCTGATGCTCATTCAATCAACTATCAAATCAATTAATTCCATTATGGACTGCATGACCATGAATTTAGTTTTTTTCTGCAAAAAAAAACTAAAACTGCGATTTTTTAAAATATACGGGCTCTCAAACATAAATAAAAACGATAATTGTCCTGATATTTCATAACACCACTTTCATAAAATGAGTTTATAATCCTAATAATAATAAAATTTAATAGAATGTTTTCACAATTTCACCGTCAAAACGTCATTGACTCGAACAAGCCGCTGCTCGTCGACATGTTGCATATCTCAACAAACCCAATCATTAATTATCATCCGGTTTACGAGGTACGCGTGTAATTACATGATTGGATGATTATCGAGCGTGATTTTAGCGCCGGTTGTTATCGCTCTCCCAGTCCCAAGATTGTGGATTCAGTGAATGAAAATACTTCCGGTTGTTCTTGTTCTTGTCCAACGAGAAATATCAGTTTTCACAAAATCATCGGCACGTCCTCTTGAGCTCAATGAACCGTTAGATATTGTGAATCCTAATTTCTCGGCTCTTTGTCTCGGGGGAAAAAAAAAATTAACGCCAACATTCGGACTCCAGGGATGAGGAAAAAAAAATATATTGAGAGGAATTTTTCGAAACAACTGCATGGCAGTTTAAATATTTCTTCCTTCAACGTCGCAGTCGAGAGGAGAGTAAAACTGGCGATTCTCCCTCTCTCCATTCTGGTCTGGGATCGGGTGCACGTGGTACGTGAGATCCCTTACAAGGGTCGGCAGTTACAGCCGTACATGGCCGGAATGTAGGGATCTCACTGTTTTTTGCCATTTTGGCCTCCACTCTCGTTGAATACTCTGTCCCTTTTACCTTTATCATCGTCGTGTCCTTTCCCTGTGCAATGACCCGCAATTAACGCCTTTTTTGCGTTATCATTTCGAGAAATTCCAGGTGTATCAGCCTCGATACTATTTTTCCGCGAGAAGGACAAAAATGGGATGCAACTGGTCTTTGACGACATTTGAAGACATGTTTTCGTAAATATGTTGGGGAAATAATTGACGTTTCAGGGACATTTTGGGATTAATTTTCAGGAGAATGGCATGAATTTACAAATTACACTGAAAATTCAATTGAATTTCAATTTTTTTAGGAGCGGGAAATTAAGAATTCTGCAACAGACGGGAATTTTCAATAAAAATATGAAGATTCAGTACTAAATTACCCTGAATTTTCAATTGATTGAAAATTGTAAAGATATTTACATGAATTTTCTTGTTTTCTGGTAATTTTCAGGATATAATTAGACTGAAAATTTCAGTGGAACGGCCACTTCATAGAAATTTCCGAAGAATAAATCGGAAATTAATTTACGAATATATTTTTTTTCCCAATTTTTTGCTTTTGATTGTTAAGAAGTTTCCAAAATAAACTAGTGGGTTCGAGTCAAGATGTGAATGCCCAAAAAAATGAATAAAAATAATCCTATAAATAAAAATAATACTGTGAATAATAATAATATAATGTTTGAAATACATTTCACTCCAAATGTCGATAAAAATCGATAAATCACTGATGTATTTGTCAATTCTTTTGACTTCAGATCCACATACAACTGGCGAATGGTCGTCCAGGTGCTCAGAATCACAGTGAAACACTCCAGGAGTTCACTCAAGCCAGATACGTACGACTCAGCCTGCAGGGATTGAGAAGAGGCGGTGGTGCATTGGCTGACAAGCGTCGGGCATTCTACTCAATAAAGGAGATCAGCATTGGTGGTCGCTGCCTGTGCTCGGGTCACGCGTCCCGCTGCCGTTACAGCGCTCGACATGGGGTAAATTTTCCACTTTACATCATACAAGAGATTGATTGCTCGAGTCTCCAATGGCTTAATTCTTATTTATTGGAGGGGAATTTCACGCCTCTTTCTCAATTTCCTCTGAGAATTTCCATCCTTACACATCAATATTCCTTAACGATTATTAATGATGTCCAGTAATTAATGATCACTGGATTAATTAACAATTAATCAGAGAATAATTAATAAACCATAGTAATTGGGCATTTTATCTACGGTTTATCCATTTATCTCGTGAATAAGTGATTTTAGGAAAAAATGACAATGAATATTTTTTATGGAGAATTAAATTTTCGACAAAAAATTTTATGTGATATTTTTATCTAGGAGCATCCGTTACTGAGATAATTCAACATTATAAAATCATCAATTAAATTTTCTTCACAAATATCCCCCGAATCTTGATAAACTACATTTTCATCAATTATCATTGCCCAAAGCCGTATCACCTCCAATAATGAATAATCACTTGAATAATTAACAATTAACTAGTAATAATTCAGATAAAAAATGATAAATCGGAAAAATTAATCTTTTTTTTACCATTTTTGCATTTATCTCGTGAACAAGTTGTTTTAGAGAAAAAAGTTATAAAATATTGTTTGTGGAGAATCAAATTTCCGACAAAAAATGTTACGTGATATTCTTATCTAGGAGTATTTGTTACTGAAATAATTCAACACTTGAAAAATCATGAATTCAATTTCCTTCATAAATATCCCCCAGAATCTTTATAAACTTTACATTCCCATTAATTATCATTGTCCAAAGCCATAAAATACTTTCTCCATAACTTTAAGAGGACTCGTATTCTCAGTGTTTCACGTGTGCACACGTGCTCACTTATATGGTCATTGCCATAGTTGGTCCCAAGTGCAGGAGTTATCTTTCGTCTTGTGTGTACCGTCGTGATGCACACTTGCGAAATTTCTCGCTCGACTGTCGGTCACGATCTTAAGTTTAATGTCCAAACGGTGAAATATTTTTGGTGATAAAGACAGATCAAAGGAGCCACCGACGTATTTTATTTCAATGGAATTATTATTCTGGGCAACTTGCAAATGGTAACGAGTTATTTTAAGCAGAAAGGGTGCGTTATTGAATTGGTTTTTTGGGGTAATCTCATTGAATTGTAGATAATTCTGGGGTTTTTCGGGAATTGCGGAGTCGAGAATTTCAGATATTTCAGGGCTTTTGGATGTCTCAATCCCTGGGGGAATCGCAAACCAATCAATCTGCATTTTATTTTTATTTTGTAATTTAAAAAATGAGGAATGAGATTGAATAATACTAGTTTTTCAGAGCTTGATTCCCTATTTTGGAAATATTTTCTAAAACTGTTGAAAAAAAATGGCAAAAGCGACTTTTTGATGCAAATTTGATTCTCTAAAAAAACAATCTGATATTTTTGGATAATTCTAATGTTTTTTTTATATTAAAAAAATGAGAATTCGATAAATCTGGGAAGAACGTGTAGATTTTATTTTTGTTTCGATTTTTTCATCATTGACATTTCTCATTACGTACTCTAAATGATTAAAAAATTCTTTTCATCGTTTGAAAGAATTATTTTTTGATTTTTTCGATAACTGTTTTCATTTCCACTTTTTATTGAGTAAAAAATGAAATTTTCGACATTTTCATATCTTTAAATTCACAATTTCATCTTTATTTAAATTTTTTTCGCGTTGAAATTCAAATTTTAAACAATCCGTTCTATAATTTATGGGAATTCCATTAAAAACATTACACACACCCTCACATTTTTCGATAAAAAATATAATAATTTTCGAGAGATTCACAAAATAAGAAATTTGGCAATAATTTCCTCAAATTTCCATTTGAAAAAAAATCTTTAAAATTTCGTCAATTCTCAATGAAAACTCGTCTCTATCCGTTGTTGCTCAATGTAAATTTCCCAATCTTTTATTCGCGATAACTCCACAAAAATAACGAGTGCCCGCTAAAGGCATTACACTACGCAATATGTAGCAGAATACTCCCCCCATAACGTATACATTATGCATAATGTACACGAGAGTACGTGTAGCCAGAGGTACATAAGGAAAGACAACCCATTCTCGGTGGTGGATAATTTTATTGCCACCTATAAACGACTGGGGCGAAAAGACTTATCTCTATCCACCCAGTGCATCACCACGTGTTCGCCCCATTGTGATGTACTTCCGTAATTGTTCGTTCAACGTTCGTTCGAGATTTCGGAACATTACTCAAGATCAAGTAATTATTTTCCATGATTATATGTTTGTTGAGGGTTTTATTTCACCATAAAATGTTGGAAAACCCCAGCGGTCGTTGGGAATTATTAGAGAAGTGGAGAAAATTTATTCGAGACTCTTGCAGATGACTAGAAGTAGACAATCCCATTTTACTAATCAACATAATTTTTGAGTCCTCGAGACGTCAATCCAATAGAATCGTTTACATCCGCCGGAAATGAGACACTGAGGCAATGAGAACTCGTACAACATTCGTCATTTATCAGCCTTTCTCTTTTGAAGATTGATCGAACGTTTTTCATAATCTTCATGAGTTTGAATAGTGGAATTAACTCGGAATTCAATCTAACGAGTTGGAATTTTTTGGTAATTACTCTGGCAGATAATTACTCGGGTTTATACGACAATGAAAATTACTGAAAATCGTGAAAGTTCAAACAATTATCTTTCTGAATCTTCAGTCTGTTGGAAATTCAATTGAATGTAATGCTTAATTTTCACAATGAATATCTGTTGCTTAAGTTTGAAAGAAATTTCTAATAGTACAAGGATTTATCTGGACGTTGAGTAATTTTCTGAAAAAACGTCAGAAGAATTAAATTTTCTACAAAGAACATCTGACGCTCTCCCCTGATGCCACTCGTTGTTGAGAATTACTCAATTTACCAGAAAATAATTTTTAGAATTTTATCAAATTTTCAATTCAATAAAAAAATGATAGATTTTATTTCCTCGTTATGCATTACAAATTACCAAGAGATATAATTTGTAGATAATTTTCCTAGTTGAAAAATTTCATTTTTTAATGAATTTTATTAAATAGAAATGAAAATTTCTGATATTTTGATTTCTCTAAATTCACGATTTTATTTTTCTTCGCATTTTCCCACATTGACAATTCAAAGACTAACTTTGATTTTATTAACATCTTAATTTATTGCTATTTATTGTTATTTTCATATTTTTACATTTAAATTTCAATTTCGTTTGAGTTTTGTAATTCCGTAATTATCAAAGAATAGTTTAAAACTAGTTGCAATAGAAGACAAAAATGACAATTAAACGAAGGAAATGGATTTTAATAATCTTGTAGCATCAAGAATGCGAGTGTGAGCGTCACACATGCGGTGAGAGATGTGACAAGTGTTGTCCAATGTTCAATCAAGTGCCCTGGAAGCCAGGGACATCGGGCAAGGGTTTTCACTGTGAAAAATGCAACTGCAATGGTCATGCTAACTCCTGCCGTTACGATCCGGAGATATCGGAGAGACGTATGTCCCTGGACATCCGGGGAAAGTATCGTGGCGGTGGTGTATGCATAAATTGCACGGTAAATCAATCGTTTAGATGCCTTTTTATATTGTAAATTACAACATCGATTGCTGATTCATGGCTGTTGCAGGATCACACAACGGGAATAAATTGTGAAAAGTGTCAAGTTGGCTATTACAGGCCTAACGGAATACCAACGGACGATCCGTCGCCCTGTATACCCTGCGATCACTGCAATATGAACGGGAGCACTGGGTTTTGCACACCTGATGAGACTTATCCGGGGAAGGTAAGAGCATTACATGAAATCAATTAATTTGGGATTTTTTTGAGGTTTGTAAGGGGTGAACTTTGGGGGGAGGGGGGTAGTTTTTTTAAAGAATTGAATTCCCTATAAAACCGATTTTATTTCAAGTCGTGATGGACCCAAGAGTTGAAGATACTAGAATTGAAATTAGTTCCTTGAAAACAGCCTAATTAACGTTAATTAATTCTGTTTTGTATTCATTCTTGAACTGTCTGTCATTATCGAAATTTTGTGGTTGAAAAAATTTGATATTTGAACGTCACGATGACTTCTCAATGATTATCGAGATATTTCCAGTGAGAGTGGGACATTTATTTAGAAAGAAAATGCATGACGTTCACACATCACCAATTTTCTCATTTGAAAAATTAATTTTTATCGAGAATTGACATTGAAGAGAATGTGATATTTAATATACTTGCATTAGTCAATCCAGAACATTTTAACAACAATTTTAATTCATCAGTTCCCCGGTTTCTAAACAAATTTTAAATTTATTTGGAAACAAAATACATTACGTTCACACGTCATCAATTCCTCAACCAAAAAAATTGTTCTCCAATCAGAAGCCTTCACGTCCGATGCAAAGACTAATTTTCTTATTTGAAGAATTATTATTTTTTCTGTATCGAAATATTGGAATTGAAGAGGATATGTTCCTCGAACCAGAGAGAAAGAAAAATGCACATTTACTGGGGACCAAAATGCATCAAACAATCAGAATAGAATTTCCCGAGTCATTCCTCATTCTTGAATCCCCCATTCTTCAAATTCAGGTTGCAGGTGCTTGTGAATGTAAACCAGGCTACTCAGGCTTCAGATGTGACCAATGTGCAGCGGGTTACCGTCAGTTTCCCGACTGCATGCCCTGTCCCTGCGATCGACGTGGAATTCTCCCGTCCCACGACTGCGAAGGCGACTGTTTGTGCAAAGCAAATGTCGAGGGTGAATTCTGTGACGACTGCAGGCCCGGATTTTTCGCCCTGACACGAGATAATCCCGAGGGATGCCTCAAGTGCGACTGCTTCGGCATGACCACTGACTGCAGAGCCGCTCGACTAGTCTACGACTCCGTAAGTTCAACAAATTTGTATTTTATTGTTGGTCCAGGGCAATTATAATTGACGATTCGATTTACAACTGAATGACAGACAGTTATTGATGGGAAATTTGTTATTCGCGGGGATAATGCGGTTTTATCGAGAGTTTTGTTAATTCGGAGTGATAAAGGAGTAAATCAATAACTCAGGGACACGGAGATATCCGTTAGACGATGAACTGGATAAGGTTGGTGCACTGGTGACTGTGCTCATGCCTTGGAACGATTGAGAGAGGCCTCTTATAACCCGTAATTACGTCGCACGAACGATTCTACGTAATAGCATACTCGGGATAAACGAGGGTGGACGCCTTGTCCTCTATCTTTTCCCATATTATTATAAATATCAACGCCCAGCCATGAAAATGTGACGTTTACATTCAAATGAAATTGTTTTGTATTTATGTTATACACGTGAACGATTTCATTTTTATCTTTACGGGGAACACAACCTTCGACATTACTTAGCTTGAAAATGAAATTGGTGAAGACTTTATTCATCGATTTTTCTATTTTTGAGATCCATTGACATTTTTGTCGTAATTTCTGTTCGACTTTTTTCTTGAATATTTTCTTGACAACAAAAACGGTCTTTTTACCTCTTTGAATAAGTGTCTTTATGTGTGAGATAAATGGAGGATGCACGGAGAATAAAGTTGGCAAAAAATTACCAGAAGAAAACGTAAAAATTACGTTCCGAAACGTAATCCGCGAGCGAAGTAAAATTCAATAAAAAGTGTGAGTCGGAACTGAAATTGTACGAATCGCCACGGAAATTCTACGAATTGTTCCGTAAAAAATAACTACCCGTCTGATGATTCACCGCTGTGGGGACAACAAGTCGTTCTGTAATTTGTCTCCAACGATTGAGGAATTTTATGTAACGGAACGTAGAAATAACTCACCAGCTTCATAAAAATTGTTGAACGCTCAAAAATTTTTGATTTTGGAGGCATAAGTCGGGAAGTTTCTGTTAGATTTTACTTCTTCGGAGATATTACGTGACAATTTCGTACTTTGTTCGGTGATGAGCGTTCACATTTCTTCTCTTCCATTCCTATAAAAATTGCCGGAAACCGATTCCCCGTGTGGAATTAATTTTTCCCACGTTTTCCCTCAATGCAGATATCCACATTGGATGGTTGGTTAGTAACAGACATAAATGCGTCGAGGTCAATTGTACCGGGATTGGACCCAGACAACGGATGGCTGACACTTGCATCCTACGAGGTTGAATATGAAAGTCCATTTTGGCTAGCACCCAAGATCTATGCCGGAAATCGTCTGTCTTCATACGGGAGTAATCTCACTTATGCTGTAACATGGATTGTCATGCGTGGTGACACCAGTGGTAAACCAACCACCGAGCCAAACGTCATTTTAGTGGTAAGTATCATTTTACTTGCTGTCACTGAAGAATTCATTATTGCAAGTTTCAAGAGAAGGGGAGAATAAAAAATAAACTGAGAACATTTTCAACCTGAAAAATTTGTCGTCAGTTTATATTCAATATCTGCGAATCCATAGGAGATTTATGGGGGAAAAAGGATTACATTTTTTTAATGAAAATCTTGAGGATTTTTTTATGTTTTTCATTGATGTCAAGATATTTTTTGAAAATTAACAAAGTTAAAGGGGATTTTGCGGTGAATGTAATATATTCCATCATTATTAAAAATCCTATAAAATAAAAAGATCAAATTGAGAATGAAATTGAAAAAAAAATTAAAAATTAAATAAAAATCTTATTGAAATGATTCTTTAGTTCAGTTTTCATATCTTTCAGATTATATCTGTCAACAATTAATGATGTAACTCATTATTATGAAGTTAATTTTTTTTTTTCAAATTGAAAAGAAAAACATGAGATTCTTGAAAGAAAAAAGATTGTATTTTATATTCTGTGGCTTTCCGAATGTTTAGGGCAAGAATGGAATGAAAATTGCTTTTGGTGAGGAGCCATACAGTGGTCAGGAGGCTGAGATTTCCGTGCCACTGCAGGAGGAAGGCTGGTTTCACATGGAGACTGAGATAAAAAATATCCAAGTGAGACCTAGGAGAACTGAATACGGAGGGAGGCCTGTCTCCAGGGGGCAAATGCTCAGAGTTCTTGCTGATGTGAAGTATGTCATGATCAGGGCGCAGTATCACTCGGAACAGGCTGAAGGAAGGTAATGAATTGATAAAATCCCCTCATGAAAATTATTAATTGACTTTTACTCTGATAAATAATTATTGATAAATTATTTTATAAAATAATTTAGATCACACGGTCTACAAAGTATTTTCTGATGAATGTGATGATGAAATATACAATTTTTTTGTGCACCAATTCTATTAAAAATTGTGCAACACAGCCTCGTGTTTTTAAATGTTAGATTTTTTAAATAGATTTTTATTGAATTGTTAGTTTTTTCTCATAATTTTTTTTTTATACTTGATAAAGTGTAAAAAATGATTTTATTTTTCTATTTTTTTCTCTTTTATGTATTTGTTTTTTTTTCAGTGGGGTTTGCCCCCTGGACTCAGCTTCTACTATTTTTGATCAATTATTGTCCTTTTTTTCTTCAGTTTGCTCTCTGTGGTTTTACCCATTGGTGAAAAATCAAATGATGGGGTCGAGACCTTTGTGGAGCAGTGCACCTGCCCCGAGGGATACGCAGGACTGTCCTGCGAATATTGTGCCTGGGGATATGTTCAAGTGATTTTTAATGGGACTGATCATCAGGATCATTACGAGTGCATCAAGTGCGACTGTAATGGGCATGCTGGGTCCTGTGATCTTGTTATGGGTGAATGTACAGTGAGTATGAATAATTCATAACATAATCAATTTATAAACTCAGTTAATTTCAATTAATTCATTCACTTTTTTTTATTTAAAAAATTGTTGAAATAAATTTTTAAAAACCTCTACTTTCGCTCCCTACATTATCGATGGTCCCTTCTGCTGTTCATTACCATCAGTATATTGAATAGAAATCGATAAAATTCTTCTGGGAATTCAGTGGAATAAGAGGAAATCTGTTCTATCGACTTTGGTAAATGAAATTTCCTTCTCATCATAATTTTTTGGATTTAATAATTTTTTTATTTGATTTTCGAAGGGTCTAGTGAGAATAAATGTTTGTGATTAATATCAATAATTAACTAAATAACTTACTTATTTAGTTGATAATTAATTTATATTATTTTTTCATTCAATGATTTATTATTCGATTTTTGGGTTGATGAAGGAAAATAAAAGTTTGAGTTTGACGCTAATTATAAATGTTTTTTTTAATTTTCAGATTTGTGAACACCACACAACAGGACCCAAATGTGATCGTTGTGCACCTGGATATTACGGTGATGCAACTAGGGGAACCCCAGACGATTGTAAACAGTGCGCATGTCCCCTGACCATATCCACCAACCAATTCAGTCCAAGCTGTCAGCTTGATGATCCCAAAAATTCCTCTGGGAGTTACGTGTGCACCCAGTGCCCTGTGGGATACACTGGAGATCATTGTGAAAGGTAAATTATAATTTTCTCCAAAAATAAAAAAAAATCATCTTCATGAAAAAAAAAATTAAGAAATAAATAAACAAATAAATTTTCTAACTCATATTTACAAGGCTTCTTTAATTCAATCATTCTTAATTATTCATGTTTACAAAATAGAAATATGGGTGATTTATCCCGTGGAATGTTGAAATGTTTAAGTCATGAATTGACTCTCATTTCTCTTCGTCTTTTTATTTTGAAGTTGTGATCTCGGTTACTTCGGTGATCCCACGAAGCCTGAGGGCACTTGCCAGTCCTGTCCCTGCAACGGTGGTACCTGCGACCAGGAAACTGGTAGATGCTTGGAATGTCGAGGTAATACTGAGGGCTGGAGATGCGACAGATGCAAGGAGGCACACTACGGGGATCCTCTAGACCAAAGTTGCCTACGTGAGTTCTTTATTTCCTTTAAAAAATATACACCTTTATTAACGAAAGTTTCATCCGGAATTATTGAGTTTCGATAGAAAAATTTAAAAAAACATTCTTTATTTTTTTATAATAATTTATTTAAAAAATATGCCCTGATGAATTCTTATTCATCTCCATCTAAAGATCTTCACTAAATAATCTGCTGAATAAAGCAGAGTAGATCCTTTCAAGTGTCTGAAAATTCTAAAGGAAATCAATCGCGAAAGAGTCGTGAATTGGTTATAACTTCGAGGAACCCATCTCAAAATTTATTCATTTATTCTGCGAATGCTAGGTTACGAGAAAAATGTTACAGGACATTTTCATTTCCCACAAAATCTGCAAGAAACAACACCATCCATTCACCCTCCCAATTATTTTAATGGTCAAATTTCCTCAAAGTACACAATTGATTATTCCGCGCCTAACAGTGTAATAATCGAGATTTCCATCAAAGTAAATCCATGAAATATTGTTTTCAGCCTGCAGTTGTAATCCCAATGGCAGCATCTCACGATTATGTGACTCAGTTAGTGGTCAGTGCCTCTGCAAGCCCCTATTCACTGGTCGTGACTGTTCCACCTGCATTGAGGGCTATGGCAATGTAACTGCTGGCTGTCGTGAGTGCAACTGTGACGTGGGTGCTATCACCAATGCCTGTGATCAAATAACTGGTAGCTGTGTATGTGCACCAGGCGTTACCGGGGATAAGTGTGATGTGTGCGAAGATGATCATTATGGATTGTCCATCGATGGCTGCCAGGGTGAGTGCCAACAATATTTTTTACCATTGATTTTATCGCTATTTTATTCTCCCCTCGGTCTTCGGAGTTTATTTGAATTTCATTTTATTCGTTATTTTGCGGTGAAAAACCCTCGAGCCAAACCGTCTGCCAGCCTACGCGCTCAGAACTACTCCCACCCACGTGTAAACGGAAAATTAACAAGTTTTGAAGACACCGATAAATAACTCGTGTGCAGTGAAATGCACTGAAATGAATTTAGCGTAACACTTGTTGATATCGAGTATTTACATGGGGGGGGAATTATTTCAATGGTTTCATCGGGGGAGTGGAGCGTTAATTGATTTTTAAGGGTGAGTGGTGGGAGGAGTTTGAATAATATCTTGGAAAATATCGAGTTTCGAAGGAAAACGAAAAAATAGTTTCTTGGCAATTTTATCTTTACAATTTGGAACTTCTGGACATATTTTCCAGACATCGGCATCATCAGAAATTTTAATTAAAGTTAAATTTTGAACAAATCAATTGCTAATACTATTCACCGGTTTTTTAATTATAAAATTAATTATCTATTAAATATTCAAATTCGGAATTATTTTATTAATCAATAATTGAGTTTCGAAGACGACCGATTTTTTTGCTAATCGAAAATGCTTTTATGACAATTAGAAATATTTACTTCATAGTGAATTGACAATTCCATATTGTCAATTATTTAGTTCATAATCAATGGAAAATTTAAATTATCAATTATGTTATTTTTCAAATTTCAATGAAGGTAAGTACATTTAAATTATTATAAGATACTTCGCACATTATTACTGAATTATTGTTTGATACTCATCCATGATAGTTTCGAAATGATGGGCAATACAAGGCAAACAAATTTATTCTATTAGTTCTCCCTTCTTCCAATTAGAGTGAAAGGTGGATTTCAATCGATTTTTAGTCAGATTTTAGTCATCTTGCTGATGATTTTTTAATTATTGCTGAAAGTAATAAAATAAACGACTCAGACAATTGCAATAATTTTATTCTCAATAATTTTGAAATTATTTAGTTTAGAAATAAATATGAAGACCTGAGAAATTCTTTTCTCTGTCCTAAACCTATTCACTAAATAATTTGCAAAAGAAAACAGAATTCATCCTATTGATTATGTGGAAATTTTTAAGAAAAATCGATCGTGTTATAAACGAATTTGTGAATTATTCGTAATTTTTTAAAAGTACATCTTAAAATTCAATGATGTATTCCATGAATGTCAAGTCCCTCACAAAATTTGGAAGAAACAACAAAATTAATTCTCCCAATGCCTTCAATGATTAAATTTCCATAAAATACATACGAATATTTGATTATACCGTGCAATAACCCGTGAATTGTCCATAAGACTGAAGAACGCATCTTGAAATTTACAATGGCTGTAGATAATAATGAAATAGTCAAAGAAACTGGGCAAAAAGCTGTTGTTGCTCTCTCAGCTCGTTTCGAGATGTTAATGAACTTCCTATAGAGGTGGGTGACCATGAGCATATCTCCAGGGACTTTTCACCAGGTTTATTCTCACCTCAACAGCCCACGTGTGTGGACAGTAGATTAGTGAGTCATCCAGAGGCAATTGAAAACGCCAATGCACTTACTCCCTTCATTTATTTTTCTCATTGTTAAAAAGAAAAAACAACAACTTCTCTCGCAGTTTTAATTCTAATTTCACTGATTAAAAATATAATTAACTGTCTGGGGGAGGCGTTGAACCTCTGATCTCTTCTCATAACTGTTATTTAACTTCACACGTGCTGCAAGCTCGCACCTCAAGTGCTCGTTTATAATATTCGTTTGTGGTGGAAAATGAGTGTGTGCATAGCGTGCCAACGTTGCACGACATTTTCAAAGCGTTAATTTACGCGGCAATGGTGATATCCCTGGGGGTATGATGGATTTATAGAGGTAGAATTTTACATCCGGCGGTATGCCATGGAGTTAATTTTTATGGGTAATGAGGACAAGGAGTTGGGAATGTCAAATGGTATTTAAATTTTTTTCGAGCAAGGAAACATTAAAATAGTTGTGTTAACGTATGGAGAAATCAAGCGTTGGAATCAGGTGATCCTCTTTGTTTGAAAATTTTCTGTTTGGAAATTAATGAGGTGAACTGAGATACCTTTTCTGAATAAATAAATTTATTAATCAGTGAATTCATCTTCGAGAAAACGTAAAAAAATTAAAAATTGAAGAGAATTGTCCCATAAAAATTCTTCATTCATTGTCTTCATACTTGAAGAACTCCCAAATTAACAAAAAAAAAGTCCAAGTCTTCAATTAAAAATCTTAAAAATTGACAAATGTCAAGTCCCAATTAGAATTCATTACAAATTAATCAGCATCTCACGAAAATTCTTCATTCTCTCTTTTCCATTTGAAGCATTCCCAAGTTAACAAAAAAATCAGAGTCTTCTGAAGGAATTGGTACACTAGCTAATGCAGTAATTCTAGTAGAAAATTGAAAAATACATTTAAAAATAATTTTAAAAAATAGTAAAATAGAATGTCAAGTCCCAATTAGAATTCACTACAAATTAATCAGCATCCCACGGAAATTCTTCATTCCCTTTGAAGCATTTCCAAATTAACAAGAAAATCCGAGTCTTCTAGAGGAGTTGGTACACTCGCTAATGATGCAATCGGTCCATCAGATAGCAGAGTCAACTTCCTTCCCCTCCTTAAGTGCAGCAGTACTGTGCCCACCTGACTGTCGATGCTTCCCTGCCGCAAACGCGTGGGTCGACTCTGTACCGGGTGTCCTCTGTTCTCGTATTCTTGGCTCATCAACGCCACCAACACTTCCATTGTCCCCAGGGGAGTCCTCTTCCTCCCACAGACAAATATCATCGACATTTCGGGCTTTAATGACTCCTCAATCTTCTTTTTTTCCCGAAGAAATTGAGCCTTTTGGGGGGAAATAAAAGGGAATTGGATAAAGCCACCCGTTTTATTGCGGCTGGATCAACACCTGGCCGTAGGACGGCTTCAGATCCTGGTAAAGATCGCCCAGGAAAATATATAGGTATCAGGTTTCTCCAACTCCTCGAAGTTTCATTCATGAGACGAGTTCAACTCTTTTCATGAATCAAATTGAAATGAATGAAAAACCAGTCGAAAAATCACAAGCTCCATTTTACCTCATTCAATTGTCGTATTGGAGATAAAAATCATTTATTTTTTTGATGGTGACGTCAATTCGCGAGAATGAGAGACATGACAATGGCCGAGGATTTTGATCGTGGGGATTGATAAATACCAGTGTTTCTCTCCTTCTGGTGCAGTCGATGGGGGGATTTGGTTTTGGTAGTCATGCCGGGGTGATACAAAAACTCGACGGATCGACGGAATGTAGTCTTGTGAAACTCCAACGTACGGACAATTTGATCGCACTCGGGAGACCCCACTGCATCGACAGCACTCATGTTTAGGGGATTCAGAATTTTTGGGATTGACTTTGAATTTTTAGTCACAATTTTTCATTAATATTTTCATTAAAATTGTTTTTTTTCCATTAATTTTTCTTGGGTATCCAATTTAATTTATGAGAATTAATATTGAAATTTTTCCTGATTGAGAATTTATCTCGAGGAAATGTGATTTTTCGGGAGAAGTTGTTCATGAAAATTGATTGGACCCTTCTCCGGAAAGCACTCATTGTTGGGCACCAAAATATAACCTTCACGACTCGATTATTTGTGTTAAACGTCAATTTATCTGAAAAAGAGGGATTTTAAGAAAAAAAAGTTGCCATCTCTGCAAGTTTCTCCCAATAATTTTTTTAAAATCATAATTTTCAATTCAATTTATTGGAATTAAAATATCAGAAATTAATGGAAATGATTCAAAGTTTACTGAAAAATCAAATTAAGTTTCTTTTAATATTCAAATGAATTTATAGAAATTGAAATTGATATTTTTCTTAATTGTGCATTTATTTAAAAAGCAAATGATTTTAACAGGGAACTTATTCATGGAAAACTTAGAAAAATCACTCATTACAAGAAATTTATATTCAGCATAACGTAAATAATATTGCATTAGAAATTATTGATACTTGTTCACAGCCTCATTCCACTCTGCCCCCATAAAAGATAAATATTGGAATAACTCTCCAAGATTATTGCAAACCAATATCGCAGATCAAATGTAAATTTTTCCCCGATAATTTCCATCCTACGAGACAACCGGTGCTCGATAAAGATAGCGATAAGGTGGGGGGGGGGGAAGGCAAAGAAATTTGAATAGTGTAAAAATAATCGAGAATGTTAACATTAATTTCAAGAATCCACTGGCCAAGCGGAATAACAAGAAAATCAATTGCTGTAATAAGGCTATTTTCCAGTTAAATTGCAGATTAAAATCTGCAGGATTCCAATTGACACAGCTTTCCCACAGATTCTCGGAAATTAATGGAGGGAAATCGACCGAGGGAGAATATCGTGGGGTATTTATTACACTTGAGTGAATGTCCACCCACTTCTTTAATTCCAGAGGTCACGTGGCATTTGCACGTGATTTTGAAGAATTGAGGATGCATAATAAAATGTACTGACTCAGGAAGAACTCGATTCCTGAAGAGGAAGTTCTAAATTTGATATAAAATCCCACGGAAATTAATTGAATAATCTATTCCAAGAGGGAAAGATCATGAATTTTTTCAAACAAAAAATCACCTCCAAATTTTTTTGATTCTATCAAAATTCTAAGGAAAAATCCCTCATATTTATTTTTAAGCTGTTCCTAACATTTTTTCATTGTCAAAATGATGTTGTGTTCAATAAAAATGTCATGACATTTTTATTTATTGCTTTGGTTATTTTGACTTGTTCCTATCATTTTTTCATTGTCAAAATGGTCTCATGTTCAATAAAAATATCATGAGATTTTAAGTTATAGCTTTGGTTATTTTGATTTGATCGAGATTGGTTTGGAAGTAGCGTCCGGACACTTGATAGAATAATGTATTACCGGGCATT